CACAAAAGTTAACATATTTCTTTTTTTTTCTGAACAATTACTTATTATCACAATTTTAACCTACAATGTATTATTCACTGTTTAGCCTATTTTCAAGATGTCCTTTTACTTGCATAACTAGTTTAACATGCTTGTGTTTCATTTCCAGGTCAGAAACAAATTCAGAAATTTTCAATTGTTTACTTGGTATCTTTAATGAGTTTTACATCTTTAAGTGTTCTTTGCTCATCAACTTATTTCGTGCTGATGGTATATATCTGATATTTTAACATTCTTTTTCTTCATGTTTATTGCAAATATTACTTTTATATTATGTATAAACCGATAAGCTGTAAAGCTCAAGATTATGAAAAGTATATCATATAAGATAGTCTAAAACATTTTGACTTTTATTATCGACACGTGTCTATAATGTATAATGAACTTAAGATAAAAACATATTTCATGAGTTAATAATACTAGTTAAGTTCAAATATGTTATTCCCGAAAGAGAACTCCTTAATGAGGTCCTTGTGTCGATCTTATGAATCAAGCCTTTTTTTAACTTATCTTTACAGTTTTTTTTTATTGTTGTAATGTTAAACCATTGACCCGGGTTATAGGTAAGGTGAGCACTATCAGTTATGTTTAACCCCGCCACATTCTCTATGTGTCTGTCCCACGTCAAGAGCCTGTGATTCAGTGGTTGTCATTGGTTGCTGTCTATTATAATTGTTTTTCGTTTAATTTATGGTTTTGTACATTCGTTTGAATTATTTCACATTCATGATTCGAGGTCAGTACCTTGTATAGTTTTTAATTGTTGAAGGCAACAAATATAGTATAAATATCAAAGCTCTCACGAAGTATGTGCTAATAATTTTGTGACGTTCAAAGGAATTTTACTGCATGAAAAAAACAAACAATTTTATAACTTCATATTATTTTTTTACGTCAGACAAGAAAGATCAGAAGACTTCTTCAGTTTACATACTGAAAGATATTTGTGACTAATATTTGTTTCCATTTACGTCATTTTGTCTTTGGTGGATAGTTGTCTCATTAGCAATCATACCAACTGAAAGTTTTTTTTCTATATGAACTTTGATTTTTGTGTGTGTATAATCACGGTATTTAAGATAACAATTTCAGCTCGAAACTACACTTTAAATATTCTACTTAATTGTTATGCTAACAGCAAGACTATTTTACAATGCAATTCTCTTTTTGGTAACTAAATCCTAATTTAGTATAAATATCAAAGCTCTCACGAAGTATGTGCTAATAATTTTGTGACGTTCAAAGGAATTTTACTGCATGAAAAAACAAACAATTTTATAACTTCATATTATTTTTTTTTACGTCAGACAAGAAAGATCAAAAGACTATTTCAGTTTACATGCTGAAAGATATTTGTACATGATGAACAATCAATTCCAAAAAAAATTAGCAATTAAAGTTAAATACATTTCTGTATTGATAGTACACACCTGTTGTGCTTTTTTACCTGAATTGATAGAAGAGCCTATTAGAACCCTAAGTATGATAGCTACGATAACATGTGGTTGGCAGACACATATTACTTCTTTCACAGACGGGTGTCTGTAAACTAGACCAATGTGATAAAATTGTAATACTTTGAAATACGCATGAAATGATTCAAATATTTAATAATATATATATATATATTTTTATTCAATGATAACTTTACTGTAAGAATTTAAGCCACTACCAACGATGAAAAAATAAATACACACACTCACACACAAAACAACCTACCAACCAATCAATTAAACAAATTATTTCAGTCTGAACCAATAAAGAACAATAAAAACAAACAAAAGACAAAACGTCAGGTAATGAGCGAATTATTATAATTTTTACCAGAATATCATGAATTTAAACACCTATTTTTGTTTGTTTTCAATTCAAGAAATAACGATTAAGACTGGCAAATGCGACACAATTCGATTTGTCACTTTGATTTCATGAATGATTATTAATTGCACATGTCCACTTTGTTTAAAACGTTGTCAGATCAAAGCATTAGCGCACATACTGAACAAAATCGATATCTGTTTATTTTTGTCATATGCAGTCGTTATAAATTGCATTGTCATGTAGATGATATACATTAGACAATTGGCTTATTTTATTCTTGTGTGATCGTAACAAGTTTTCGAGAACAATCATATTAACACTTATTGCGAAAATTATTTATCGAATAAAATGTAGATTTATAAATCTGTATACAGATTGCCTTTGCCATGAAGAACAATACAATGTATTGAGAAATGGAACTAATATATAAATATATCAAATATCAAATGAATTGAAGAAAAAACAATATCAGGTGGATGTTCAAGACATAAACATTTAAAATACTGGGGACAAATAAGGCAATTAAAACGATATAAACAAACCATCGAAAGCTTAAACCATAATGGGAGATAACTCCCACACATTATGCCACGTTCATGTTACGAAAGGGAAGCAGTTAAATCGAATTAGCTCTACCCAAAGTATGTAATTTCGTATGAATGGGTTTATTGTAATACTTAATGGACGTACACGAAAAGCACATTATAAAAGATGTAAGTGATGCCGTACAATACACACCATGCAGTGTTCAAATATCGACATGTATTAGAAAGGAAAGTTATAAAGCTGATTTGGAAAATTTCATTCATAATATGTAGCAGATAAATTATATGAATTGACTGACAATGACCAGCATGTGTATACCCTTATTAAACATTTATATTAAAACCCCATTAGAATATCAAGTTAAAAGTTGATAAAAAGGATTTGAATATTGTTGTTACAATGAGAGAGTAACTGATCAAGTATTTACAATCGTCTGAAAGATTACACGGTAGATATAGTGTCCGGCGGAGATCATGTTTTTCGAGTGAATCGGTCCTTTTCGAGTGTAGATCAGGTTTTTTGTAGCATATTTTTTTCACGTTTTACCAGAAATTAAGTCTGTTTGTTTACATTTTTGATCATATTCACTCGAAAAAAAGTGGCCACACTGGAAAAAAACGATCAAATCACTCGCAAAACCATGATCCCAGCCGGACACTATACCTACCGTGGATTAATTGATAATATGATTGTGCAATGCCGGGAGAGCTAAAAAGTAAACATGAATCTCGTAATCTTCTAAGTAAATAAACATGTTTTTTATAATGTAAGTACTATTTGCCATCAATAAATCAATAATCATTTATGCAATATACTGTTTTTTCAAGTGTTAAACGTAGAAAACCGCCACGTATAATTTAAGGTTAATATTGACAAAAATCAAACCGTGTTTTCACCATAAAGTGTACACGTAAAAACAGACAAACGACGTTTATAAAGATTAAATGCAAAACCTTCAAAACTTATCTGGATTTTGATGTGTTTTTTGTATGCTACAGAAGGTGCCAAAATAAGCTTAGATAACGGAAATGACACGTACAAAAGAGTCTACACAACAATTATACGTGATTAGAGCAGTGTAATTGAGGGGACCATGTTAAATCTATTTTTCCATCTTTTGCAGTATTGACTCTCAAAATCCAGAAATTATTTTATTTCCTTAAACACACAATGCACATATCTTCATATATCTATCCCCTGTCATGTCTTAAAAACTTTTTCAGGTGTACAATTTTGTCTGTAATTTTCAGTTGTCAACATTGCCATATTTGTTAAAACTTTCCGATGAACGGTTTTGCGATAGACTGATATAATTTCACGTCATTCAAATTGTTATTCGGGATCAACAAGGGCACCACAAACATCCCCATGGCATAAATAATGCGATGCGGGATACTCAAATCTACCAGTTTAAAGTAACTGCATCAAAATGAAAAACGAAGATCTAGATTATACGTCAATGAGACAGCAACCCAACAACACAAACAAAAACATATCTTAGAGATCAATATACATCATCTTCAACAATAGAAAGGTAAAAAAAAATGTATCTGTACAATATAATCTCAGGTCGAAAGAAACTTAGATGAGGGAAATTTTCAGTTCTTCATCCATTGTTGAAATAATGACTATAACAGCAGCACATGAAGCCATTACTACAGAAGTACGTGTATGAATAACAGTAACACACTGAACAAATTGACAAAACAATGATGTATCTTTAGATGCCTTCGTGTGTATATTGTATTCCTTCAATGTAAATGTATAATGTAATTGAAGATCGAAATACTAAAAAAATAAAATAATAATAAGTATGTGCAATATTATTGCAAGATTTTTTCACAGATTAAAAGCGGCTAAAATTTCGCATAAGCGTTATGCACTTTCCTCGCAAAACTAGGTATAATCCAGATATCACTGTAAAAACAAGTGTTTCAAAATAAAACACTTTTAAAACACATATCAGACACAGTTTTAAAACACTTTTAAGTGTTTAATTCTAAGCACTTGTGTTTTATGTAAAACGTTTAAAATGTTTTATACAGTAATCACTAATGTTTTCCTTCAAAACACACATGTTTTGTCAATAACACTATGATGTTTTACCTAAAACACTTCAGCGTTTAATATAAAACACTTTTAAGTGTTTATGAAGGAGACACACTTTTAAAACACTTTTAAGTGTTTATAAATGAGATATGTTTTTGTTTAAACACATGTGTGATTTTTTGTGTACACCGCAAGTGTTTTTGCATTGTATGTTTTGAAATGTGTGTTTTTAAAATGTGTTTTAGCTAAGCATTAGTATTGTTCCTTTAGCTCTTCAAATGACAAGATCTGTATCATTGGCTTGTATAGAAAATCTTACCACTAAAATTTGTCCTTTGCAGTTTCCTATACCCCAAATATTTTAAACTTGTCAGGTTTTATGACTGGAGTATTTTGTCATTATTTACTCATTAATGTTCGAACAAAAAAATACCCTGCATAGTGCAACCAGTTGTTTGTTTCCAAAACAAGGTACATGTTATACCAAGAGTAATCTCCTACACGAATATAAAATTTTGTATAGGCATCATAAATACTGAGAAATAAAAAAAAATGTATGAAATTTTATTCATTGCAATTATTCTTTATAAAATCACAAATATTTTCCAAGATTGATACAGTATAATAGATGTAACATGTAAAATAATATAAAGTTTCAGTCGCTATATCTGACATTTCTAATTGTTCTTGTCCCTTTCAAATATAAAGCTGATCTGAGTCCCTCCTCATGGTGGCTTTTTGTGTACTTATCCACTTCGTTTTCAACAACATTTTCATGTATGGATATGAAAGTAGTCGACTTCTTCCCTTTGCCTTTGAGTATCCAGTTTCAGGAAGAAATTTGTACTCTGCCTCCTGAAATATTGTTCAATTCATTTATGTATGGCCTTTGAAGGTATTAAATGTTTAAATTATAACTTAAAAGTGAATTTTTACTACCTAATATACTTGAATCTAGATGCCCCTTTTCTTGAAAATAATTGTGAGTTGATATATTGTCATTTTAAATAAAATCTATTTATATATTGCACAGTTAATTACAAAACATATGCAGATATATGTGTAAAGTTCATTAAAAATCAACAGAAACCAAATTCATTGTGTTCAAAGTGATTTTCTGAAGAAAAAAAAAAAACCTTAACCTTGAAAACTAATGGACAAATGTTAAGACTGAGTGCGCAAAAAAAGAAAGTAAACAAATGTGAGAATTGCTGCACTGTTCCCTGATGATAATGGTTAACAGATCAGTGGTAAACCTCACTTTTCCATTATAAAAGGGTTAACTGATAAGCAATTATTCAGCTGTACTTTCATATGGGGTTAACATTATACATCTTTTTAGTTACACCATTCTATTAATAAGCAACCAATCATATTACTCTTATAAATAAAGTCCACAGTAGATACATTTCGGGGTCTAAGACCGGCTTTTATAGCTGACTATGCGTTATGGGCTTTGCTCATTGTTGAAGGCCGTACGGTGACCTATAGTTGTTAATGTCTGTGTCATTTGGTCTATTGTGGAGAGTTGTCTCATTGGCAATCATACCACATCTTCTTTTTATACATATATGTTGATGTACAGATATTATGTCATATTGAATTTTTAATGGTAATATATATGACACCAGGTTATTTTCATTATAATACTCAAAATATTGATGATATCTGTCATAAAAAATTAATTATCATATCTTGTTAATATCTTAAACGAATAAAAATGATTTTATAAATAGGAGTTGCTTGAAAAATACATGTTACTATGTAAATCTAGTCATACCTTCAATTCTTTTTTTGTTTATCTTTGGTAAGACACCTCAGAACTTTTTCAGGTCTACTTCCTATAACCTTCAGATTCATTTAAACTTCAGCATCTTGATAAATTAAAATTCATCCAATATCTGGAACAGAAATATTTGTTTTTATAATATTTAGTCTGCAATCGTATAATTTATATGTACAATGTACGAAAACGTACATTGTTTGAATTGATAGCTTGCATTTGCACTTTTGGTTATGGGTTTTGCTCATTGTTGAAGGCCATACAGTACCCTATAGTTGCTTACTTCTACATCATTTGGTCTCTGATGGAGAGTTATCTAATTGGCAATCATACTACATTTTATTCTTATATGTAACTACATCCCATTTTTGTAATCAATACCGACAAAATGACTGAAACCTGAAACACATATTATTTTGTTTGGCATGACTCTACCAATAAATCTAAGTTTGTATTTTCAATGTTTTTTTCTGTTTTCTTCTCAATGAAATCATGGTCATATGAGGACCCTTAAGCTTACATGTAATGCTCTGGTTAAAATGTTGACTTTAAATTAAAAGGTAGACCCTGATAATATGTACTGCAACACACAAATACAAATATCTCAAAACTATTGTTTTTCTTATGCATGTATATTAACATGACTCAGTATATGTACATTTATGTTTCATTATTCAAAACAAAGTCAAGACAACTGTTTTGTTTGGAAATATTGAAGTCACAGAAGGATAGACATAGGTAGCACTATATGCCCCTGCCACTTATGGCCGGGGCATAAAAATAACATACCATGATTTCAGGTGTTTCTTCTTTTTCTTTTTTTTTTCTTTTGTCTGTTTCTGTGTTCTTCATTTTTTTTCTTTTGAATGCTGTCCAATGTACTCACTGCTGAAAAACAGTAAAATAATAGACAAATGAGGTAGTTAAATTGGATAGGCAACACAATTATGATTGCAGGCCATAAACCTAATTTGTCTTACAATCTTTAACTTTAGCCTGATATTCTACCTCCTTGTAAAGTCTTACATTTGTACAACAACTTATACTAAATAAAATGGAATTCTGAAGACAGAAGTACATTTTATCCTGAAAATTTTATATTTGTTCAGTTAACAGGTTAATTGTTGCAACATAATCATGATTTTTTTTCAATATAAATATTTAAATCACTAGCATGACCTAGTCCTTGCTACAGAATGTACATATGAACTGAGACTATATAAATCTATAACAGTACATGTATAGTCAGGTGTAAAAACAGAGGCGGATTTAGGGGGGGGGGGGGGGGGGGTAGGGGGCCCCCATTTGTTGGTTGATTATCTAAGGAATCACTGAAGCATGACTGGAGCGGGCCCCCTCTTAGGCAGTCAGTTCCCCACCCTAATGAAAATCTCTGGATCCTCCACTGAAATTTTCTATATTTGCTACTGTACTGTCAGTAGATATCTCGATTTTCATTTGTTTTCTTTCAATTTTAATAACAGTTTACATGCAAAAGACACATACACATACATACCCACAAATCAACAAACTACATTATTAGCATGATTAGTATTACACCAGGGACTTTCTATACTAAGTACTTACTATAGAAAGTCCCTGATTTAGTGATTATACACACATCGACACAGGAACAAAAACAGTGAAACACCTTAAGTTAACCTGACATGATGTCATGTATTTTTTCTATTGATTATGAGATAACAATTAAGAAGCATAATTTACATTTTGTAATCTTATTGTTAATATTATAGTCTTACAAAAATTAACTAACATCTTTGTTTTGACCTGTGTGTCTGTTGAAAAACTACGGGAAAATAATACAGAAGATTGCTTTCAAGGGAGAAAACTTATCTTGCTAAATATATTGGGGTCCTAAATGGGGTGATTTTCAGATGAACAAAAATACAATTTGTCGAGTATTGTCGTTCGTAAATCAGTCGTTTCTTAGATTTTCTTTTGTGAATACACATACGAAAGCTAGTCAGGCTTATCACTATATCACATGGGAAGATATACTGTTTATCCTCGCTAAACGAAGAATTTACTACAATGAAAATCCTTGCTGTACCCCAGCAGTTAAGCCTAACTTAAAACAATTTTATTTAAATGATCACAAAAGAAAGAGTTATATTAAATATTAGGATTAAATATTATAACGCTTATGTCAGTCGTGTAAAAGCATTTGTAAAGAAATTGCCGCCAAATTAATCTGGGATGCGGCTTTCGACCAAAACATTCCACATCGGTTAAAATATTAATACTAATTTGCTTGTCCGAGGATAATTCCACAATGAAATTAAACAAGAAAAGTAAAACACGAATTAGATGACAATAATTTTTATAACAATTAAACTTACCTTTTAATCCAGATTGTAATCATGATTCTTCTAGCCCTGTGTACATTTCCCTCTCAGCTGCAGCTAGGACACTGGATACCTTTGGCGGTATTAAAGGCTGGTCACGTGTGTATCATATTACGAAAACGCGAGTGTTTTTCTGTGTGTTTAGTTTTCATATGTTGAAAACGCTTATCCGTTTTGACAATATCTGAGCGATGATCCTCTGTCAATATTTATTGCTGCACCCCCGGATGATCATGTCTAGTATTTGTTTAATTTTACCCTTTTTTCAGTACTTATAGTTTTTTTCAACCAAATTTCAATTATAATCCATAGGAAATCATATACAAAAAAGACCAAGAATTACTTTTCTTTATCTGAATTGCATGGTTTAAAGCTTTAGTTACATGACGTTTTTTACTATTTAAAGTGTCCGGCTTTGCTATTGAAGCTGATCACTCGACTTTATGTTGATAAATCGCTAAACAATAAATTGGGGCTATTTCTTTACCGTCATTATAAACTGTTTAAAATAAAACACGAGTGTTTAACGATAAACAGAAGAAATTTGTCAAAAGCACACATGTTTATTCTAAAACACTTGCGTCTAAAATAAAACATTTGCGATTTTCTTACAAGTGTTTGAAATGTTTTTAAAATTACACTTGTTTTTACAGTGTATAAACGTAATGCATAATCTTCACAACTGATGCCACAAATAAACAGAAACTGCTTTAATAAATGTAATAGAAGCTTGTTCTGCCAATGCACATATTTTCACTGGCATTCTAGTGCTACATTGCATACCGAATTTTTGCATTGCTTGTTTTTATATTTTTTCGTTTTTCTTGTCGTTTTTTTTAAATTTAATCCCGCCTTTCTATTGCGTGTTGTTTGTTTGTTTTTCTTTTGTTTGTACTTTGCTTTTGATATGTTGTGTTGTGTTGTGTTGGTTTGCTTTGTTTTGTTAATTTTCTTTGTTGTTTTGTTTTGATTTTGTTGTATGCCATTGTTTCTGAACGATATCCTACTAATAAAACATCAATGATTCATCATACATTCAAATCTACCGTACAACTGACAAGAAAGAAAACAAAAGCCTTGCGACCTTACATATAATCCCATGAATAGTGGCATCTATTATGTTCTGCCTGATCCGTAATAATCATATCTAATGTCAGTAAACCTTAACTTGAAACCATTGTTTACAATAATGAGAGATTATTATTCAGATAAATCTGTAAAACATAATGAATTAGTGAATATAATGGGTGATTGTTCTATGATCCAAGGTCACATCAGTTACCAAAGACTTTTATTTTACAAATAAGTAAATAAATATTCCATTGATATTGCTTATCGGCATTGAATTCTTAAGTCATTAAACTAAACTGCAACTTGAGCAGTTCCGGTTTTTCTCAATGATATATATTAACAACTCTTAAGAACGAAATCTGATTTGCTTCATTACGCCCACAACTTTTGTCGTAATACTAACGATTGTATCCCCCCTTTCAATCATATCTTGTGTATTAGTGTCAAAACATGAAAGTTAATGCTAATTATAATTATAAGATTGACATGTAGAGTAAAACATTAAAGAATATATTTTTCCAGATCTATAATTTAACACTCCTGGTTTTAAACGCGCGTTTCAATAATAACAATTTAGCCGGATTCAATTTTAGTTTTTCATCAATGACTTTTAGCACCGCACGACACTTACGGACTTCGTGTTATTGATTGCGAAAAAAAAACCCGGGTACTAGTATATAAGAACAAAACAATGCATTGGTAAATGACGGCATTGCAAAATTCGGGAACAAAATATCAAATGTAATTATAATTGACTTTCAATTTTTATCTGACTTGTTATGTTTTAGACATTATCCAACAACAAAATAATTATGTTTATTTTGATGTTGCTGCAAATGGATATTTTTTTAGTGCTTTTTGACTGGAACCAATTACAACGGACGCTATAAATGACATCTGTTACCCACAGATAAGTAGATTTATTTACATCTAGTACCAGCTATATGAGGATACAAAAGATTGATTCGATCTTATTTCACATCGGAATTGATTTCCAATGTGTCCCCTGTGCATCTTCGCGAGACAATCATGAAAGTTTATCTAATAGAACAATTAACAGTAACCGCGATCATTATCATCGCCTAAAAAAATAGTAAAAAAAAAATGTCCAAGTTAAGTACCCTAATATTCAGTCAGTATTTCTCCATACGTTACCGGAGAAATACATGAAATGTTACAATAATAAGCATTGTCTTTTTGCTTAATAAGCCAAAAATGAAGGGATATAACTATACTGTAAAATTATTGCGGCTTATATTTTATTTTGATTTCGAATCGCTTATTTATTAATATCAAAATAAGAAGATTGCCAGTGAGACACTCTCTACCAGAGTTTGGAATGCAACTAAAATATTTCATTTGTTTCTTTTCATTTAAAAGTATAAACATACAATCAATTTTCAACGTTTTTTCCTCTCGGCATCAATTGTAAAAGGAAGACCTAAAAGTAGTCACATCCTACTGTTACATGTATATTAGTAAGCCTTTATCATCCTACTGTTACATGTATATTAGTAAGCCTTCATCATCATACTGTTACATGTATATTAGTAAGCCTATATCATCCTACTGTTACATATATTAGTAAGCCTTTATTATCCTACTGCTACATGTATATAAGCCTTTATCATCCTACTGTTACATGTATATTAGTAAGCCTTTATTATCCTATGCTACATGTATATAAGCCTTCATCATCCTACTGCTACATGTATATTAGTAAGCCTTTATCATCCTACTGTTACATGTATATTAGTAAGCCTTTATCATCCTACTGCTACATGTATATTAGTAAGCCTTTATCATCCTACTGCTACATGTATATTAGTAAGCCTTTATCATCCTACTGCTACATGTATATTAGTAAGCCTTTATCATCCTACTGCTACATGTATATTAGTAAGCCTTTATCATCCTACTGCTACATGTATATTAGCAAGCCTTTATCATCCTACTGCTACATGTATATTAGTAAGCCTTTATCATCCTACTGCTACATGTATAGTAGCAAGTCTTTATCATCCTACTGCTACATGTATATTAGTAAGCCTTTATCATCCTACTGCTACATGTATATTAGTAAGCCTTTATCATCCTACTGCTACATGTATATTAGTAAGCCTTTATCATCCTACTGCTACATGTATATTAGTAAGCCTTTATCATCCTACTGTCACATGTATATTAGTAAGCCTTTATCATCCTACTGCTACATGTATTTTAGTAAGCCTTTATCATCCTACTGCTACATGTATATTAGTAAGACTTTATCATCATACTGTTACATGTATATTAGTAAGCCTTTATTATCCTACTGCTACATGTATATAAGCCTTCATCATCCTACTGCTACATGTATATTAGTAAGCCTTTATCATCCTACTGTTACATGTATATTAGTAAGCCTTTATCATCCTACTGCTACATGTATATTAGTAAGCCTTTATCATCCTACTGCTACATGTATATTAGTAAGCCTTTATCACATACTTGAAATAATGTTTCACACAATTCAACATATTTCCATAGAATTCAAATAGTTATCAATCACTACATATTACTGTTGAAGGCATTTTCATGCAAAATTGCAAATTTTACTTGTTTTGGTCAAATTTGGATCGAAAGACATCGCTTACCAAAAAGAAATAAATTGTATTCGAAAAAAAAATCCCTTACTTACCTCCAACACAATCTTGGTTTAGGATGTCCTTCGTGTACATTTTTGGGATTAATACTCAATGTTTGCCAAAATGTCTAAAAGTTGAGGTTTGAGGCAATCTACGGCGTATAAAATTTGATGACCTGTTTAAAAATAAAAGTCACATATTTGGCTGTGATACTATGAATTTAAGTAAAGATTAAAAGACTTTTTTTGAAAATGGTCCTTGTGTTTACAAGAAAATTTATGATATAGTTTAACTTGTTTATACAAATGAATTATCATCTCCTAATTTCCCGTTTCTATGATGGACGAACGGTAAAATTAAAAAAAAGTGGTAGACGTTAAAAAAATCTTCTTTTTTTTGTTGCCTTCGCTGTCGAAGTCATACCAATGAGAAACAAGGATAACGACTGTTAATTATAAAACAAAATATATGGGCGTGAAAAATTAATTGCAGGATAAATACAATAATATTCATTGTCGGATAATATAAAATGTATTTGTATTTGCTACAAAAGAGATGAAAAGTTCGGCAATGCACGTTTTTTGTTCTTAAAGGTCATACACGTGAATTATATATCAGTTTCAGATAATGTACTAAGTACCTTTATTGTTCTTATTGACAACTTAAAAGTATATCAGCCATCATTAGAGTGTAAGATACTTTGATTTCCTTATTATCAAATCAAGTGCTTTGAACTAAAAGCATTTTGATACTTATTATTTATTTATTTACCGTTTTACACGCAGCTGTATTGTTATCGTTATTTCGGATTCGAGGGCTTTCTCTGAAATGATTTTTACTTTTTGTTGAACATAATTCTCAGGCTTTTTGTTATTCCATTGATGGAAATAGAAAAGGCAGTGCTGAGTACTGAAAACTGTTTTACTCCGCCATATAGCAATGTGAATGTCATCCTTGTTAGTTAGTTTGAATAAAAGTGGTGTGCGGGAAGATTTCCTACAAAAAAGAAGGAACTAGCAAAATACATCTAGAGATAACACAATTGTGGTCTTCAACAATAGGTAAGTGTAAATACAATACATCAAGCTTTTAATGGCCCTATTGAAGAATAGGTGAGCGACTCAAAAGATTTGCCATCAACACGAAATATCCCTATGAACAAAAAAACGAAAAACAAAAACAAAACAGGTATGTATGATTAATAAAAGACAACCAATCTTAAACAGTGAATTGGGACACGTGTACATATATAAGTGACCGAATTAGACTAGTTGTATCTAAATCTCAATCCTCCTACTCTCAAGCTTGATAAGTTAAAGGTATATTAAAGAACGTTCAATAATGGGCACAGACAAATCACTCATCCCTGTAATACCGGTTTAATAGATAATAAAAACACCAAGTTCCAGCCAACCAATAATAAACAT